AGAGAGAGAGAGAGAGAGATTGAAAACCTTTACCGTTGATGAAAAGTAAAAGTTTTCCGAGCCCTGCTGCCTCGGCCGCTCGCGTCTCCTTCGGTCTTCTTTACGTATTTATCTTCTGCTTGTGGCCGACAGGATTAAGTGTTGCACTGTTGTGAGAGCGTTACCGCCCTGCTGCAGGATGTGCAACAAACACTTTCAACGCTTTCAAGCATTCGTCCAGGATACATAAAACACGCTGTTCCGTTGAAATTATTGAAATTGTAAAATCCCCTCTTTGAAACAGACCTATTTTATCGATGAGAAGAAATTTGGTTTTGTTAAATTACGAACACAATGATAAATTTATGACGGCTAATTTTTTTTAAAAAAAATTTGTCTATTTTAAGACTGAAAATGTTTTTTTCGGTGCCTGCAGGCAGGCGCAACACTTTGCTCTCTCCCCTCCCGACGACGGCCAGGTTACACACTCTTTTCGCGACCCGCTGTAGCCTTTATCCTTTTCGATATCGGATTTTTCGTTTGCTCTTTTTTCTTCTTTTTTCTCGTTCTTTATATTTCATTGTCAGGTCTGCCGTCTGCCGCCCGCCCCTGCGGGCTTGAGCTCTCAAGTACATTGTCGCAGCCGGGAGCCCCCACCTTCAAGGTGCATTACGAGGTTTCCTTCCAAAGTGGCCTGCTCGGCCGTCGCCGCGCCTACACTGCCAAAAAAGGGGGTGGGGGGGGGGGGAGAAATCACAGGACCGAAAGCACATAAAAGTGCAAAAAAGAAAGAGGATTTCCAGGGTTTTGTCTTCTGTGTCAGCAGGACAAAAAAAAAAACAGCATTTTGCGCGCTGTTTTTTTTAGAAATTTATATTTTGTCGTAATTTGTTTGAAAAGGAACATTTTAACCGCCGTTTTAGCTGGAACTTCGTTATTTTTGCACATGAGCCGGATGCACCCTTGATCCTACCACCCGTTCGTGAAATGTTCCTGGTCTGTTTCTGGCTGTGTGCTGACGGTGGTGAAGGTGCGGGAGGCCAGGTGCTGGCAGGGAGGGCTGCAGCCCAAGTCATTCCTCTTCCCCTTATCACCTTTCTACTTGAGCGACTCTGGCCGCCCCGCCCCGCCCCGCCCCGCCCGATGCCTTCACCTGGTTAGCCGCGCCGGTCTGCTCTCTTGCCCAAAGCCGCCAACTTTGCCACCACCCTCGGCCGGGAACGCCCCGCTCCTCCGCTGCCGATCGCCCCGACCGCTATGGTGACGGTGGTGACCGTGACAGTGGTGACCGTGATTTCTGGTGGTGACTGCCTCGCGACCGCCCCCCTCTTTTCGTCGTCACCTGCCGCGCTAATGTCTTCTCTCTCTTTCTCTCTCCGTTTCTCTCTCCTCTATTCTTAGCTCGAGTCCGTCTGGAACAACACGGAGTCGGCACGAGCAGCACGCCGCCTGAATTGCTGTCTTCCTGTTTCCGCCCCTGCTGCTCATTCTGTGTGCCGTCATCTCTGCCCTTCTCTCTCTCTCTCTCTCTCTCTCTCTCTCCCTCTCTCTCTCTCGCTCTGTCTGTCTGTCTGTCTGTCTCTCTCTCTCTCTCTCTCTCTCTCTCTCGTGCTCATTCACCTTCTTCACGGGTCATTATCCCCCCCTCTCTGTTCTTTGTTTTGGTGTACACCTTGCCATGCAGCCTCCGCTCTGCCTCTCTTGCCGGGGATGCGCTGCTGTGCGGTCGGATGGGATGGCGAACCACCATACTTGGATATTTTTTTCCTGCCCTGCGTTCCTGAAATTTACTTGAGAATTTGTTTGGGTAATATTTAGTAAAACCAAATGTACATGCGGAGTAATTTTCATTTACTACAAAACATAAATAAATAATTCATTAATTACTTCAAATTTTGAGACTCTTTTAATCCCTCTCACATGCTTTACTTTCACAATCCACGGCACAGGCGCGCGCACACACACACACACACACACTCCCCCTACCCCTACCCTCTCTCTCTCTCTCTCACACACACACACACACAGCCACATACGACTGCCGCTCCGGTACGTCCAGCAATCTCTGCTAATATCGCAGCAATTTCCTGCTGTTTCTCTTCTCCAGGCGCTCCCCCGCCCCCCCCGGAATATGGCAGATGCGTTAGGAATCAGTAAGGGAGACTGGCACATGGACTGATAACCCGGGCTGGTTTCGGCAAGGAGTCAAGGGCGTCTGGAA